CACAACAGCAGTCGACTCAGAGGACTTTTCAACGCTTTCTATTCGCCAACGACAGATCAATACGGATCAGAATCAGACTAATTCAATGCAATAACAGCAAACACATAGTAGCAATTGGTCCATGTAGTATGACCAATGTCCATAAATGTCCTTAAATGTCCCGGGTCATCACAATTCTGACTCAGACCATCCTCCATCTGCAAGGAACAACTCGAAAACCCAGTGGGAAAAAGACGGCAGTCAATGTGGAACTTCTGCCTGTGTCTTTTGCATAATCAACTTTTTAGTCTATAGTGTATGTGCATTCATTTAGTTTTACGATCGCTCAAACAAACAAAAACTACACAATGAAACGTGTTGCAAACTCCTTCAAGAGAGACTACTACACGGGAAACCTTAGCATGATCCAAGCGCTTTTCAAGGCGACAATATTTAGACAGTACTTTGCACCTTTCGCAGTGAGAGTTACAGATGATCAGAAGCACATCCACAATATTGTTTCAGGCTAATGAGTTATTGAGTTACTAATAGTGCACACCGTTTGTGGGATAAGTCGCACATTGATTTAAGACAGGGTTTCTCAAACTGGGGTACGCGTACCCCTAGTTTTTTTTTTTTAATTTTACCAGGAAAGTCCCATTGAGATTAACTCATTGACAGCCATGGATGTCATTTGAGGACAACATTGTTTTTCAATCTTTTCCTGTCAGTCTGTGTCCCCTGTATCATACAGTCTGGGGTTTGGCTGTAGGTGGCAGCAGAACTCCCTGGTTTGGTCAAAGATCACTCTGAGCACTCTGAGCAGGAGAGACAGAGGTGAAGCAGACATGGAGTAATATAGTCAGGGTCAGGCTACATTTGGAGGCAGTTTGAGCACTAAATGTGTCTCCAGAACTGACAGACCATGTGGAGGGTCAGAGCAGCAGACCATGTGGAGGGTCATAGCAGCAGACCATGTGGAGGGTCAGAGCAGCAGACCATGTGGAGGGTCAGGACAGCAGACCAGTGGAGCACCTCAAAAAAGCCACAGAAAAGTGGACTATTGCTAAAATTATCACTGAGTCCACACCAGGAGCCAGCAGCAAAGTCCAGATATGGTCACAGCACACGCCGGACTAAACGCTCTGTAGATGTAACCACACAAAAACACACAAACGCGTGCATAAACGGACATACATGCACGCCCAAACACACAAAGACACACAGCAGTATTCTGTTGCACTTATACTATAAGTATTCACTTTGATTTATTGTCATGTATAGTGTTTATCATTGTAATTTTGTTATTCTTTGATTTACTCTTATTGACATAAATATAGCGCCACCTAATGGATGAATACTGGCCATTCTATCTGGCATAGTTTGTCTTGGGCTCTACTTTCAATATGTACATTTTGACATTTTTTGGATGAGTACATTTTGAAATTTTTGAGCAACACTTTGTGGATGTGTGTGTGCCATAAAACTTATTATTTTACATTAAAAACACTTTCTCAAAACGTGTTGCTGTTTTCTAACATGTAAGATCCTGGACATGTTTGAGGAGATGCTAAAGTTAAACTAAATAGTTTTACAATCACTTTTCTGCAGGTTCGTCTGTTTTCACAAAAACCTCATTTTCTAATTTTTTTGTCTAAGACTTGTGCTTTTTGTCACACTCTCCTCTTTTCGACTGGAGATCACAGGAGAACGAAACAAACTAAGAACAAACTTCATTTTGCTGCTGAAAGTAGACAGTCCTGTCTTTCAGACTCTGGTTTCATATTTTTCATAGCACACAATATTCTGTGAGTCTTAAAAATCAGTGAAGTCATCAAAAAATGGCTGGCAGTCAATGAGAACCTCTTTTTTGTGTACAAAAATTACATAAAATTACAGATGATAAAACAGTCACATACAGATGATAAAATAGTCACATACAGATTATACAACAGTAACACACAATTTCATAAAATTACGGATTATAAAAACAGTTACATTTCACTGAAGATGTCTCAATCTGGATCTAAAAGCATTCAAGGAAATAAGATCAGATCATTTCTAGTCTTTTTGCAACACGTTCCATGTAGAAGGAGCAGTTTTTTTTCCCAGTTCTGTGCAAAAGGAACAGAGAGCAACGAAAGATCATTTGATCCAAACCATGAGAACATGTCTCTGTGAGTAAACGACAGATGTAAGAGGGCAGCAGAGCAAGCCTTAGAAACTAAAGTACACCAGTGTCCAAACCTTCTGTGGACAAAGATCCCACTCCAGAATATCACTCACAGTGAGGCTTTGCAGTTCACAATGAATGAAACATTTAAAACAATTTTTTTTCCTATATTTAAGCGCAGTCTCACTGTTGAAACTGTGTAAAATATTTAGGAATGAAACCTCTGCCTTGTTATTGATGAATACTTCGGTTTACTACGCTACTGTGTGGTGTGGTCATTTGTGGTGGTACTTGGAGAGGCAAGTATTTTCTGAGGGGGTACTTGGTGTGAAAAGTTTGAGAACCACTGATTATGAAGTGGAGTCACACACACAAGGCGGTAATCTTATAAATAAATGAACAGTGAACACACCTGAAACCAAAATCACCGCACGTCCCCGCTGCTGGATCGGACCAATACTGTCCTTACATTACTGAGCTCCCTTTATGATAGTTGGGGCGACAGTGGCTCAGTTGGTAGAGCATTGGCCTTTGAGCTCGAAGGTCGTGGATTCGAGGCCAACACGAGACCTTCTCCACGAGTTCCTCTGCTGTCGTTGTGTCCTTGGGCAAGACATTTAACCCACTTTGCCTATAAGGAACGCGGAAGTGATGTTCGCTGCTTGTGATGTGTATGTATATGCACACGTGTATGTGTATGTGTTTGCGTCAAACTGAAATTTCCCCATTGTGGGACGAATAAAAGACCTTCTCTCTCTAGTTCTGCAGTTAGGCCATATTTAGTTTTTTTTTTTCTTATTGTAAAATGCATACAATCTTTGAAAACATGCGACCTGAGATCTAAGGTACATAATGGCCGAAAAAAATAAACTACTACTTCTAAAAAAAAGGCACAATATTACAGTACTCTGTAGAAGAGATATTTTAATCCCTCGGGATATTTATGGGCAAATAAATTAACACAACAATATACATTTTACTGATTTTAGTAAGATATCCTGATGACCTATTTTTCTCTAAAAAAGCAACAAATAATGATCAAAATTGAAAACTGAATCTATGGGACCCTATAGTCACTTTGTGTTTGTTCTCCAAACAAGTGGCTCTGCAGTCTTGGACTCTAATGACTCATTTACTCTAATTAAAATTGGGAATCATATTTACACAGAAAAAGATCAAACCCCAAAGTCTGTCAGCATGTGTTTGGTTATAGGAGGGTATGCTGATGTCTGGGAATTAGGTCTAATAGACTGAATGACTGAATTTCAACTCCCCTTTCACATCTAAACACATTTTTACGGGAAATGAGCTTTTGAGGAACCTGTGCGAAAAAGAGCAAAAAGACTAAGGCAGAACACTTGCATAATTTTCATAGAGATTTTGTATTATTATTTCGATTATTTTTCATTTGTGAGTTTAAGTTCAATTGCAACTACTACCATGTATTATTTATTGAGAAAAGAAAGTTCTGACTTTATTCCCACTGGTTTCCTTTTGAATGGTTCCTTGCCAATGCAGGAGGGACTAAGCTAAGGAGAGTGATGATCCAGGACATTTACGGACATTTAAGGACATTTACGGACATTTATGAACGTTTGTGGACATTTACGGACAGTGGTCATGACTCCCTCTATGAACCGACTCTTATGTGTTTGTTATGACTGCCTTACCTGTGTTCAAACGGTTTTATTCTCTGTGCAATCCTCCGAGATATCTGCTATTGTAATTTACATATACAAAAATACTTTGAATTTAATGGAAATGAAAAGAATTAGGTACACCAGCTTTAAATCCCATCAATATTCCGTATTCTAGTTCTCCATCCTACCTGAGTTCCACTATTTAGTCGTTTAAGGCCCTATTTTTATCCCTAAGCGCATATTTAAACAGTAATGGAAGTGGGTTCATTCCAGTAATGACTTAATTTCCTTGAGTAAATTGCCTGTGCTCACAAAGGGAGACGTGCCTTAGCCGCTGGTTCTAATCCACTCCGGGTTTTGCGGCCGTCCCAGCAGAGAGCGCTCCCCGCCTGGAGCTGCTCTGTGCTCAGCCCTGTCCTGATATCACTCCGCTGGCATGGTGGAGGAGCGGACCTGAGTATTGTGATGGTGGCAGGCGGGCGACAGCAGCACCTACAGACTACACACTTCCGCCTGTGTTAGCGCCCTGTGTCTGGGGTTACACACTTCTGGACCTATACGAGCGTGCTTTTACACTCTCTGCAAACTCCACTACACCTTCCCCGGGATTTCTTTCAAACCACAAACCATATGAAATGCAAGTTCACTGGGAAACTCCAGAGCCCGTTCGGTTCAAGCAAAACTTTTTCTCAGAGGACAGCTCGGAGGAGCGGAGAGGAGACTGTTGCTGTAGCCGCCTCTGCTGCTCCTCTGTGGGACAGGGCTTGTGCCTCTGACCGCTCTGTCTCTCACACTTATTGCGTTATTGTTGTTTTTCTTTTCTTTTTTGCAGCGGAGTTCGCGTTGTGCGTTGTGCGCTTTGGCTGTGGCTGTGGCTGCGCTCTGGCCGCCGTGTTAGGTGTGCTTTTTTGGAGTTTTTCAACACGCACAAGAGACAGGACTTGATCGCACATCGGTCACGGACATTTAAAGCCCGAGTCTAGGCTCTCTTTCGCAGACGGACCGTGCAAAAGCAGCAGCAGCAGCGAGAGGAGGAGGAGGAGGAGGACAAGCATTAGATAGACGCGCGGGGACGAGGAGCCTGCATCGGGGGTTTGTTGTTTTGGAGAGGACCTGTCCGCTGGAGCAGGAGCAGGAGGAGTGCAGGCTGAGTGCGCAAACGCTGGGGGAGAAAAGTTCCTCCAAAATAGCCGCGTCTGGGCTCAGATATGGGGGACTTTGCCTCCCCCACTGCTGGAGGAAACGGCGGTCTCTGCATCAACAACAGCCTGAACAACAGCGTGCCTCCCGGGTCCGTGGGCATCCCCAAGCATAGCACGGTGGTGGAGCGGCTCAGGCAGAGGATAGAGGGCTGCAGGCGGCATCATGTCACCTGCGAGACCCGGTACCAGCAAGCGCACGCCGAACAGCTGGAGATAGAGCGGAGAGAGACCGTGAGCCTCTACCAGCGCAGCCTGGAGCAGAGAGCCAAGAAGAGCGCACCGGGGAGCACCAAGCAACCCCAGAGCAAGCAGCTAGAGTCGGACTCCGCTGTGTGCATGGAGCAGAGGAATAACACCCTGATAGCGGTAGGATTCACTCACTCTTCCCCTCTTCACACGCATGTAAACACAGTCTCCACGCGAGTCACATGTGTGCCCCAAATACAACTTTTGAGCGCGTATAGAGATGGAGATGGTGATGCTGGTGCACATGTGGCGAGAACTTGTTGAAGCCACTACTGCACAGGCAAAAAAAAACACATGACTTTCCTCTCACATGTGTGTGTTTTTGTGTTTGTTTTGTGTTTTGTGGATGGAGTGCAGGAGACGATCCACAAACTTGTTGAAGCTCTGTGCAGTGAGTGTCTGGATGATTACGCACACACTTTAGGAGTTAACTCATGTGCAGAGTTGACAATAGAGCCACCCTTCTGACACCTCTGATTGGATAAAGAGCAATCAGATATGAGTTAGATGGACAGCTTATACTTATTCTATCACTTCCAAACTTTATTTTAGCTCGCGTGACTGGCAGGTCTTACTTCTCCTTTCTGGTCCTATTGTGTTTTTGCTGCAAATTGTTCTCTACAAGAAATTACTTGCAACACTGCTTCTTTGCTCAGAGCAGAGCAAGAGTGTTCAGTCTGTTCAGTAACCCTTTTATAACGGGCATGTATAAAACCAGCAGTCTTCACTCACTGTTGAAGATCAGCCCCTCTCACACTGGCAACCCTCACCCAGAGTAACCCAAAGTCTATCACGTTGCTGGACAAAAGTGTAGCCTAATCTTATATTTACTGTAAAGTCCAAAGGCTGCAATTAGCTATAACTGTACATAACCGTGCCGGATCAAGCCACTGAAGAATGTGTAAAGTGAAGCTGTAGAAAATACCTCTGTCAACACCAATTAGCTCCTTTAAACTGACTGTAGGTTTTGTGGGAGTGCTACAGTGATTTCCTGTTGGTAGGGGGCACTGGTAACATATGTAGGGATTCGTGTGGTGGCGCTGTGAGGATGTGCAGTGTGTCCGTGGCAGGTCTACAGATGGATCTCATCACAGGCTCGTTACTAATGTTTAATTTTAGAGCAGAGGAGAGGATTTGCCTTATTATGATGAAACATGGAGGGACAGCCTGTGCATGTTCTTTGGTGTGTTGTGGTTGCGCTGCTGTGCCTCAGAGAAACATGTTGGGAATGTCAACATTGTTATCCCCTTTGTCACCGCTGTGCCCCCCCACCCCTCCTCTTTTTAAATGCATAATGAGAATGTCTTTAATTTGAGCTGGCTGTTATTTAAGGTCTGCACCAGCCTGATGCTCCAGCTCTGAGAGCAGCAGTGATTTTAATAGAGCAGGACCTCCCAGCGGCTCTTGTGGACATTAAACTGAACCGCCCATTAGATGGCCGGCACAAATGCTGCGATGGAGGGATTACTGCTTAAAGACACAGTGCTTCCACACGCTCTGCTGCTGATGCTGAGCCTGTGTGCAAACACAGCACTCGATACTGAAACGCTGAGTGTTCGCACCCTTTTAAGGTTGCACTGGAGTGTGTGGTATTATCGAGCCGTGGCTTGTAAAGGAGATGAAAGGAAGCAAGAGTGTGCCATCCTTCTCTGGCTCCTTTGAGCAGAGCTGCAGCTAGATGGCTGTCTGTAGTCATCTCAGAACGGCCTTCGAGGAACAAGCTCCTGCACAGACACCCACAGGCTGCGTCTGCTGCTGCTGCAGACCCTGCACCTGGACACTGCACTGCTGCTCTTCAAACACATTTACTTTCACTCACACAGTTGACATCCTCATGCCTCTTGTCACTGTTGTAAGATCCTGTTGTACTCTCAGATATAGTAATGAGCAGCAGAAAGATGCTTGACATTCTGATTATTCTTGAGCCTTTCTCAGGTGCAAAACAAGTGCACGATTGTCTAATGTCTGTGGACACGCCCTGGTCGAGCCGGCGACATGTCATTATTCAAAGTGTGTTTGTCGTCTCGCTGATACTATGAGAAAACACACACAGCCACTGATTCCCATCGCTCTTCTCAGCGCCACAAATGCACAGCTGCACGTTTGACAGAGATCAGCGTTAACAAGCACCTGTCACTTTGCCCATGTGTTTTACAGACACCAGCTGATTGACTTTCTTATGAGAGTCCCTTACACACTTGTAATGGCCTCGTAATAACAGAAAAACTGCCTCTTTTACTGTGAAAAGTTGAGACATGACATTGACACGACACAGGGACAAATGACACAATAACAAGAAAAGAAAATACTGTGAAAGTGATCGTGCAACAGATAATGATAATCACACAAGTGCAGTAGAATCACAGTCATCTCCACTTTCAGTTTCTTCAGTTTCTCACCGGGAAATAACTGTTTCTTAGCAAGTGCAAGAATATCTTAGCTTCGTTGTTTTTGTATTTCCTGTTGCCTGAGTAGATTTGTGTTTTTGAGACTTTCTTAACTCGTAGGATAGAGAACGTCAGGGACTCCCACATGAAACACAGTTGTTACAGTTATAGTAAAGTCGGCCTCAGGTGTTGAAATACCCACTCTGAACTATTGGTGCAAGAGGCTGTGACCGTTACCAAAGATCACTAATGTCCATATTATTCACTCTTGTGGGATATTTTAGCTTGATTACGAGTGAGTACTTTCTCCAAACATGAAGAGTTTTGCCGACCTTGGATGATACCATATCTTTTTAGTTTTTTTTTTCTCTCAGTGAGTTGTCTGTCTGCTGATTTTTCCACTTTTCAGACTTTCAAGAGTGAACTTTAAAGATCCCAACAAGCTCTTCCAAAAGAATATGAGCCAACAAAGTGTGTATTATAACAGTATTTAATGATTTCAACTATTTTAAAGCAGACAGAACGGTAATGTTTGGATCACGCAGTTGTACGTTGATGCATCCATATTTGAATAATTTATATTTGTACTTAACGTGACCCTCTGAGAGCTCCGAGGCAGAACAGACAAATCAGTTCCCACTTAACCCTGCCCTTTGTTCTGAACTTACTGGTGCTAATTCTAAATATTCAGACTCTGGATTCATTGTTTTGGAAGACCTGTCATGATAAAAGTATAAAAGTATTGATGTATTATGTTGAGACAGATTTATATTGTTGTACATGTTTATAATGACACTGCTTTTTGACACAGTTACTACTAATAATTCTAATCAACATTTATTATTCATCTCTATACATGAAAAAGTAATAGCAGCATGAATATTTAGCCGTAACCACCGTACAGAGCTCAAATTGAACCATTCTGCAACAAAATTAGTTTAGTTCCTCCCACTATTGCAAAGGAAATTCCCACATGGTCCTCTGGATATTGTGCCATCCAGTGATATCAAGTGGATAACTTAATGATTGACAGGTCTACACGACTGGTTCAAAAAAATAAAAAATAAAATAAATGATAAGAAAAATCCCAAGAAATCCTCATATTGTTTTAAGTTAGGGTTAGAAAAGAAAAGTCACTCATGTTCAATTTTAAGTTTCACCTTTTACTCGTGTGAAAGTAAAGAATTAGCAGCATTTATACAGGTTTGTCCTGGGTTAGCCGAGTGCAGCTGCTATTCAAACTAACCCACTGGATAAATTAACTTTGAAGCAGGGCTATCCACAATGAATATTTGAACTTAGAAGCTTTGTTATCCACAATGAATATTTGAATTTAGAAGCAGGGCTACCCACAAGGAATACATGAACTTAGAAGCGTTGCTATCCACAATGAATAAACAAACTTTGAAGCAGGGCTACCCACGATTAATAAACAAACTTAGGAGCATGGCTTTGCACAACTAAGAAATGAACTTAGAAGCATGGCTATCCTCAATGAATACATGAACTTATAAGTGTGGTTATACACAATGAATAAATGAACTTAGAAGCAGGGCTAACAAAGAATACATTTGAGGTTCCCACATTTTCAAAATGTTAGGAGTAGAAAGTACAAATGTTTTAGAAGGATTAGAAGTTAAGAGTTAAAGTAAGAATGAGTTAAAAAATACATAGCACAAACTAAAGTAAAACTACTAAGTATAGTACACTTAAGTAATAGTTAGTTACTTTCTGAGTGAGACTGAGGCAAACGCTCTGGTGCCAAACTTTATCGGCTCACCATGAGACATTGCGTACTTTTGGCGCGTTATCTCGAAGCATAGACAAACAAGAAAATGTGAAATCACGGGTGTCTGTCACTTTTGAGCCGTGCAAACAGGTTTTTGAACACTGTCAAAATCAGGACACAGACAATGCGGACCAGAGCAGCCTTGAAGTAGGCCACAAACACTTATGTGCGACGATGATGACGACGATGATGATGATGATGATGCCCGATGAACAGGGGTCACCTACTAAAGTCCAGTTTTGATAGAAGCTGTTTTTACATCGAGTGAATCAGAAATACATTCTAGACTTTGTTAATTACAGTGTTGTCTTTGAAGCAGCCATGTGTCCAGTGTTGTAGTGTGAGCCAACAGTGTCAAAAGGCCAATTGATGATTAGAAAACCCTTGCATAGTGTAGCCCCGTTTCCACCAGCCCTACTTGGCCCTACTCTACTCGGCCCTACTCTACTCGGCCCTACTCTACTCGGCTCTACTCTACCTGGTTGTGTTTCCATTACGTTTTGGTGTCTGGTAGCGTATCCTAGCAACCTACCCTCAACAAATCAGGATCCATGGACATTTTGTGGTAACCATGGCTTCCAGCAGCACTCTGACAATCCCTGTCAGTGAGAACACTCTAGTTCGACCTGGATACCAGGGCCAAGCAGGTACTAAAAAGTATCTGGTATTGGTTAAAGAGAGTAGAGTAGAGGAGGGCCTGAGCAGGGGTGGTGGAAACAGGGCTTAGATATCACACAAATCAAGTTCTGAGATTTGACTTAAAGCATACAATTGCCTAGGTGACCTTTTTTGATTCTCTTTTAGATTTTTTTATTACAAGAAAACACGCTTTAACAATAACAATTGGCGCGTTGTGTTGCCTTGTGTAGGACAGGCGCTCTACAAATACAAGTTGATTGATTGATTGATGAACAATAACATAAACACACACATAAAAACAGAAAAACTAACTTTGACAGAATGATAAAAAACCCACATTAAAAGTCCTCGCTAAACCACTCATAACTTCCCCTTTAAAACAAAAGGATTGGATTCCAAATGTGCCATAAACTCCTACCTCTTAATTAGTAACAACAACCGAACCTATATTTAAAATTCATGATTCATGCAAAGCCTTTTCACTCCTGCAGTTCCTTCATCTTCACTGTAGTTATAACCATGTGCTGTAATTGTGGAGACATAAGTTTTCCCATAATGCTAAGAAATCGTTTTATCGACAATGGTCCCAGACTTGCGTTGCTGGTACCTTTCATGTTGTTATTATCACATGTGAGATCGTCATGTCCTTGGGCTAAGTTTTATACACTTCTCCGCAGGAAGCTGTGGTTTGGGTTTCATAAAGATGACTAATTGTCGTGCTGCTCTCTGCCAGTGGCATATTACAAACAATATTTATTATGTTCAGTACATAGACAGACATTCAAAAGTCAATTCAATTTATTTAGCTGTCTTGTACTTCACGGGGGGGTCTGAAAAGTATATTTATTTATGTACTTATTTCTGGCTGCAGATTGAGCTCACTGTTTTTTCACTGACTATGCAAAAGGTACACACACTATTGCGTCTATGAGTTCAACTCAATATGTTTTTTGATAGATATAAA